CTCTTCGATGCCTACACCAAACAATCCACGATGGTATGGCGATAGTGACGAACTCATGAGTCGCTTCGCCTTCTTTGGCCTGGCCTGCCATCATACTCGGAAGCTTGACTTTGGCGTAGAAAGTATGGAATTGCACACGGCGACTCTCACGCATCCAATACTCAAATTGGCCCACTACGTGAATGACATGACCGCTCTGTCATTATTTACTGTTCGAGCTCCTTTCGATCGCTACGGTGCTGCGGCCTACTTCGATGATGAGCGCCGCTTGATTGGTATTTACCTTTCTCATCGTAATGAACTAGTCATGCCTTTGAGCAACTCATGTAGCCTTGACAACGATTGGACCTATGCCAAATATATGTGGCGATCGTCGGCCTTAGCCATGGTGACCGTACGCGACCATCTTCTGACCACGCACTTCATCGAGGCCAACACACTGACAAATGTATCACGGCAATTCCTTCCTGAAGCTCATCCTTTACGTGTCTTCCTCAAACCATTCACCTATCGCACTGTGACCATCAACTATTCGGCTGCGACCTCGCTGGTTAGCCAGGGTGGCCTCTGTCACAGAATCTGGGGATTCGAGTTCGATGAGTTTCTGAAGCTATGTGACTATGTCATTGCTCATTACCGATTCCGTATCATGCCTGACTGGATTGCTGATAACATGAAACTGGAGCAGAATCGACAGTCTCAAACTGGGTCAACCAATCAACGATGTAAGAATATACATGCGAAAGAAGATAGAGACAGCTATGCAGTAAGGAAGAAGTGTCCAAAGTGTGGATACAACCTGATAGACTCCGTTGAACTTCATAATTACAGCAACAAACCCAGTGAAACAAATGAACTGTCCGATGAAAATCAATCTGAATGGGTCAAACATTATCCTATTGCAGAAGACTTGCCCGCATTCTGGAAAATTGTGCGTGATTATGTAAGACGATTCTTTGAGATCGAATACGGCAAAGAGGAATCGACAGAGGACGAGAAGAAAGGCAAGATAACTTCAGAACGCGCGTTTATGGTCGAACCTTGTGAACGTCGATTTATCTCTGAGTTGTGCAAACCATTGGGACTGAATGGCATCCCTAGTCGCACTCATCTAATTGATGTGATCACGCAACTGATTTGTGCATGTACCGGCATTCACGAGCACGTTGGACATGTCGCCGATTACCTTTTTGATCCTAGTTTCATTGGTACCAAACTAAGGCGAGACCTACCGTCTTTGCTTCCATCCGTGCAGAATTACAGTCTAATGCTCGTTTTGACTGTACTGACTGCCATGAGGATGCCAGGTCTGATGGACGATTGGAGCCATCTCATTCCGCGCGTTGCTACTGACAGTCAAGAAGGCAAGCCGCTCTCGGCTATGACTGAAGAACACGTTAAATCTCATCTTGACAATTATTATTTGTTCAAGCAACAACTATCTGAGCGTATAGAGAAAATCGACGAGCGGCATCGAATGCCAGACACTTTTCCCTTTCAATCCTTCAACCCCAGTTTCATGGAGTGCTCGGTATCACTCTAAACTTATCATGAACATTGTAAACCACAATCATTAATAATCACGATTTACTCTTATAGTTTTTTAGTCCAGCTGCATATTTTTATACACGCTTAAATAATGTATTCCAGAAACAAGACGATGTCAAGCCGAGCGCAGACATTTCTTGTTCTTTATTTGCTATATTGTAATACCATAACCACGCTAACTACTAACAGTTTTGATGAAGAAATTCTCCATAGCGATAAATGGCTCATCTTTGGAACAATTGTTAGCGGTATTCTTAGTCGACATTTCGCATGTTTGCTCCTCTGTCAGGAGTTCGTCAATATAAACTGGAATTTCAGTCACATTCTGTACGAACTGTTTGACGAGCGGAGGCATTATGATCAGTCTTGTGACTTCAGTCACACTCTTATGTGAGGGTGAGCCAAGCACACCGTGACTAGGAGTGTCTCTTTCGAGTTTCTGTTTCCGGAAACTCTCTTAGAACCTTCTGGAACTATCCAGAATCACCTCCTTGAAACTTTTAGAACCTTTCAGAACCATCTTCTTGAACATGGTAGAACTTAAGTAGAGAAGAGTGTTTCCGAATTCTTTTTTGAAAAGAAACCTGGAAAACCATACTGACTTTGTCCCTGAACTCCAAGCACAAATGATGAGTATATGAAAATGCTCAGAAATACTAGAAAACAAGTTTCTGCTGAATATTCGGGTTTCTTAGAAATAGAAACATGACACTCCTAACCGTACCGTATTTCGACCTTCCTTAAGAATCTTATCAGATGGTTTGATTTTAGTTGTATATATAGATTCTGTTCTAATGATCTGAATATGACAAACATAATATAAACTAGATCTACATAGAATTGATAAATCATAGAAATGCAACAAAAGGTTAGTTGTCGTCAAAGTATTCCTGATCTTATGCATCACTGCAGTGTGTGTTGTTATTAAAATGTGATTATGAAGCCACCTATCTATGCCTTCATCATTGTAGTAGTATTGGTGATTGTCTCACAGATTTTGGATTAATCAATATTATATACGAAGTCAGTGTTGGTAGGTGTGGGTGTTGGAGAATGGAAGGTCCACATGCACACGCACATCCACTCACACCCTACACCCACACCGACAGCCTTTTTTCTTATACTCTTTCGTCTTGATAATGGCTCTTAAAGTAGTCGAAACGTCAGCATAAATTTTCTTATTCAGTAATAAAGTTAGTTGAATAAAATAAAATCTTAAAAAAAAGAAATTATATTTAAAGCTGTTGTTAAATCAATGATTTTCATATTTAAATTATTACCCGTAAACGAAAAATCATAAATAAAATGAGTTTTAAATAAGTTGGAAAGAATATGTCATGTTTTTCATAAGTTTACAAACATCGATGGTAAACATGAATCCTTTTGTCATATGTGAACTAATATTTCCCATTTTTTTATTGTAGTAATCTTATACGTACACTTTTTAACAGAAAGTAAAGAAAAATAAAATAGAATGCGAGTGAATAAAAGATTCACATGGAAATCCTTTTCATTTGTATATAAATATATTTATTTAATTCTTTTCATCTTCTATCTTTTTTTTCCTTTATAAAAGTTCTCTTTTTTGAGTATCATCGTTTTCTAGTTTCAACTGAAGTTTTCAATTGAGTCTTTATCGGTTTTTAAACGGACACAAAATCTGCTATAGACACTGATAAATATATTGTACAAGTCGAAGGACTATAATAAGTTGATTTTTGAAAATATTTTACAAATAATAATATCCACGATAAGTTACCGATAAAACGTTAGATAGCACACTTCAATGATGGTCTACATAGATTTTTTCGAT